TGGGGACCGCAGAAGCGGCGCGGGGATCTCGCGGGGGAGTGGCGGCGGGCGCTGACCGCGAAAATGGGGAGGGCGGTTATTGAGAGGCAGGAATTGGGGGGATCCTGAGCTCGGGGCGAGGAACGAGGTAACCGTGCGCCAAGTGAGGGAGGCGGGGAAGGAAGACCTGTTGGGAACCGGTAGTTACCAGGATGCTCCGATGTCGGGAGGTCAATAGGACATTTGGGGGGTGAGTTGAGTGAAAACTGATGGTGGAGCGGTGGACGCGGGGAACTGGACGCTGGAGGGAAGGTGGAGGGCGTTCGTTTGGTGGGAATCCCCGTGGAGTCGAGGCTGGAAGAGGAAGGGTGGCGATGCCCCGGCCGCACCTGGAGGGGAGTGTGCAGCTCGGAGCGGGCTGCCAGGGGGGAAGGTGGAAGCATTAAAGTGTGAGACCTGGGCAGTGTGTGTGGTGGAGTTCTGATCAGGAAGGAACGTTCTTAAAAGATAACACAGCGGTGACGAACTGGAAGGACTGGTGTGGACTGCAGTTCGGAATTTTAAAGGGATTGGAATAATCTGTGACGGCTTTGGCTCTCCCAAGACCCACCTCCTTTGTCACGCTGTTGTTTTTTGCCTTACAATTTCTGTTTCTGAATGACCTCCTGAGTGCTTTTGGTGTTTTGTTTGTTTGTTTGTTTCCTCCTTTTACAAACCGCAAAAGAACCCGCAGGGAATAAGGACTGTTCTAGCACACCTATGGATTTACTCAGTAACTTTGAGGCAAATTGTTAAACCGTCTCATTTTTTTCCCCCCTTTGAAATATAGGTTTGGTCCCTCACGGCTCCTAAAAGATTGTGTTAGCCAAATGAGATCTTTATTTTTTAAAATTTTACTTACTGATTTTAGAAAGAGAGCAAGGAGAGAGAGGAAAACACCAATTCCACTTATTTATGCATTCAGTGGTTGCTATGCTTGTATGTGCCCTGACCAGGGCTTGAACCCACAACCTTGGCATAGGTGTATGACGCTCTGACCAACTGAGCTACCAGGTCCGGGCTCCCAAGTGGGACCCTTAGTGGTTCTAAAGAAGTGGTCTCTGAAAACAAGGTTGAGATGCTGCTATTGAGAAGACACGACTTTCTGGGTTTCTTCCTCCCAGCCCTCCTGCATTTCTATGCTGGGGAAGAGTTGGTGATTTGATACATGCCCCCCTCACCCCCCCCTCCTTTTTTTTTTAACTTTTCTCCTCAACTTTCAGTAGCCATGAATTTCATATTATTGTATTACATTGTATTGGCTGCCATCAAGATAGAGCTAGGGAAGTTAGAGTTAGGGTGAATGAGGTCTGTTGATGGAGAATAGGGGAGAATGCAGTCTAGCCACCCAGAATAGTTTACTCTTTAAAAATTTTTCCCCCCATTTCTCAATTACTTTGGTCTTGACAAACACTGATTTTCCTCATGATGTCTTTGAAAATTCACGGAAGTGTAATATTTTAGACCGTTGAGCCTTTTGTTTTGGTCCATTCGCTTTGGCCCTGTTGCCAGTTGGTGGAGACCAGTGTGCTTGTGGACAGTTTTAACTTTACTGTTAATCCTTTGAAATCTTGACTGTTTTAGCTGTTCCTTTGGGCATAATACCCTACATACTTTGCCCATAGGTGAACTTGTTTAGTGTAGAAGTATTCCTGAAAGTCTTGGCATTTCTGAAGTCTGACATGGATTTGTTTAAGGGTGGCAGTTCCCAATTCTCCCTTACACCTGATATCAGAGCAGTGTTTACTTAGCTAATACTGATTAGTTATGTTATGTCAGCACAAAGGGGAAATGCCGGGGAAGGGGGAAGGTGTTGAGAACAGTGGAATTTTCAGATTTTACTTTTAAGAAGGGAAGAGAGAAATCCTATTCCTATTAAAGAGAAAATTGTTAGGTGTTCTTTTTTGACCTCTTGAGCTCTTTGATAGTCACCAAGTGTACTTGACTCTTTTTTCCTATTGCTCTTGAAGTAATTCTGAAATTTGTGACTTGCTGGTTCAGGCTGTTTCAGCAAACCATAGTCTTCATACTAACTCCAGGAAGAGCTGCATGCTATGAAGTATGTACACTTATTTGGGAGTAAAAACCTACTTAATATTTTGCTGTCATTTCAACCTACAGTGTGTCTTTTGGTTTGTTTTTAGGAAGGTTTTGAAATAAGTTATAGAGGCTCAGAGCTTTGGGAAGGCTAATTGATTTCAGAGAGAAAGGGAGAGGAAGAGAGAGATAGAAACATCAATGATGAGAGAGAATCACTGATTGGCTGCCTCTGGAATGCCCCTCACCGGGGATCAAGCCCTCAACCCGGGCATGTGTTCTTGACAGGAATCGAACCCGGGACCCTTCAGGCCACAGGCCGATGCTCTATCCACTGAGCCAAACTGGCTGGGGCAGAAGGCTTTTAATATAGCCTGCTTGTTTAACCTAATGATTTCCCATTTTTTCCTGTCCTGTTATGTTTTTCCATTGCTCTACTTGAGCCAGTCCTAAGTGGAAATGGCAAATTACATATTTTTCCCCTCCTTTTTAGTCTCTGGTGGACTTCTTGTCTGTGTCACAGTTTGATACCACCAAATTGAAAGGATTCTTGATTTCTTCAAATGGGGTGGGTGACAGAAGCTGAGCGGGTTTCCTGGGCCAGAGAATGGATTATGTCAAAGCAAAGAATAGTTGCAGAAACACAAACCGGCATCTTGAAGCTGTGACTAACATTTTGGCAACATACTTCCCTTTGCCAAATAACTTCTTTTCTTCTTGAGTGTGATTGTTGATCTCCTTCTCAAAGTAGGCTCTTGTTGCTACTGTTCTTCACACAACTCCCAGCAGAAGTTGGCAGAGTTCCAGCTGACTGTCTCTAGAGGGATGTGCCCCGGATTAGAGTAGATGGCGTGTTCCATGTCAAAATGAGGTTTATTGGCAGATCCTGAGAACTGCTCTGCAAGGAAATAGAGGCAGTACTCTTCACTGAATGTGTTTGTATTCCTTTATGTTTTTCCTAAATTCAAATCTGTTTCTTATTCATCTGGTGATTAAATGCAGAATCATTGCCTCTGTCTAGCTTTGAAAGACCAAGGTACTGAGGAAGAGAGAGAAAAAGAGATTTCCGACATTTTTTTCTTCCACACTCACTCCCAAGCCTTTGAATTTGGGGAGCCACAGGCACTGCTTGGTATATTACAGAAGGGTATTTAAAACACTGCATCAAACTGTATGGAGAAAAACAATGTTAGTAGGAAAAAAAGGTGATGTATTTGCTAATGTCTGTGTCAGTCTTAGATTTTGACTTAACATGTGGAAAGAGCCTGTGGAGGCAAGTTATCAAATAGAGCCAGGAATTGGCTTCTAACTTGCCACTTAGGCTTGGCAAAGTTATAACAATTTAGAATGGCTATACTACATACTTTGTTCTACTTAGTAAATGCTCTTTTCAGTATTTTCTACTTAGTAAGTGCCCTTTTGTTTTTCAGGGGATAGTTAGTTGAAGATAACAGTGCCTCTGACAGGTCTTGGGGTGGATTGTGATGATCATTTCTTGTCCTATATGACAGAGGTTCTGGTAACATTGGAGACCCCTCAGCACATGCCCTCACCCCCCTACTGTCTCTGTCCACTGGTTATGCTCATATGCATGCATACAAGTCCTTTGGTTGATCTCTTACCCCCTCACCTCCCACCTTCCCTCATAGATTGGACAATCTGTTTGATGCTTCTATGTCTCTGGTTCTATTTTTGTTCATCAGTTTATGTTGTTCATTATATTCCACAAATGGGCAAATCTGTATTTTAAGGAATGTGTGTAGCTTTCCTCCCCATTCTTATCATTAATTTAAAAATTTTTTTTAGTTTTTTGAATTTGTGGATTCAAGTTAAGCTCCATTTAGATTTTGAGGCCCCTCAGTGGAAATAATTTATTTTTAGTCAGTGTTTATAATATGTCTTTAGTACAAATTCATCAACCTACTTTCTATGCTTATAGGAATGCTGAATTCCATAATCCCTTTTTTCTCCCAATAATCCCTCTAACTGTGAACCCACAAACTGAGTATGTGCCTTGGCTGGGAACTGAACCGAGGACTCTTTGCTGCACGGGATGATGCTCCAACCAGCTGAGTTATATGGGCCTTGGCACTGGTAGACATTTTAAATGTTTCCAGTCATCTGCTATGACAAACTGTGCTCCAGTGAATAATCATATATATTTGGCCTTTTGCGTGTGTGACTGTATCTGTAGGGTAAGTTACAAGGGTGGGTTAAAGTAGGTTGACAGTTGTTCGTATGGAAAATAATACAATAATTAATAAATATCAATACAAGAATAGCCCTGGCCAGTATGGCTCAGTTGGTTGGGCGTTGTCCCATGCACAGAAAGGTTGCCTGTTTAATTCCTAGTCAGGGTACATGCCCCGGTGTGGGTTCAGTCCCCAGTATGGCACATGCAGGAAACAGCAATCAATATTTCACTCTCACATTGATGTTTCTTGCTCTCTTCCTCTCTAAAAATCAATCAATAATAATAATACAAGAATAAATTCTGTGTTTTGTGTACTCACAACTATAAACCTACTTTTGCCCACTCCATATAAGTAGAGTTGCTGAAGCTGATTTTTTTGGGGGGCGGGGGGGCTTGTTATTTACTTATTTGACAAGAAGTTTTGAGCTGCTGTGTGCCAAGCACGGGGCTAGGTGCTGGAGTTATAGCAGTGAACAAAACTGACTCAGTCCCTGCACTCACGAAATTATGGTCTAGTGAGGAAGACCCATTAAACAAATAACTGCTTTTGCTGTGAATGCTTTGGAGCCCTTGCTGGTGTTCTCAGTGGTTAGAGCATTGGTTGGCACACTGAAGGGTTGCACGTTTGATTCCTCCACCCCTCCAGTTGGGGCATGCAGGAGGCAACCAATCAATGTGTCTCTTTCACATGGATGTTTCTCTCTCTCTCTCCCTCTCCCTCCCCACACCCCCTCCTCCTCCCTCCCTTCCTTCCACTCTCTCTAAAAATCAATGGAAAAATTATCCTTGATTGAGGATTAACAAACAAAAAAAGGCTTTGGAGACAGCTAATTGGAAGTCTAACCCAGGTTGATTGGGAAGGAGGGTAGTTAGGGAAGGTCTGTGAGGAATTGATTTAAAAAAAATCTTTTTATTGAGTTCAGAGAGGAAGGGAGGAGAGAGAGATAGAAACATCAATGATGAGAGAGAATATTGATCGGCTACCTCCTGCACACCCCACACTGGGGATCCAGCCAGCAGCCTGGGCATGTGCCCTCAACTGGAATCGGACCCGGGACCCCCCAGACTGTAGGGTGAGGCCTGTCCACTGAGCCAAACCGGCTAGGGCAGGAATTGATTTTTAAGGCTGAAACCTAAAGGATGAGGGGAGAACAAAAGACTGTTTTCGGTAGTGGACATGGCATAGGTGAAGATTCTGAGGAGGGAAAGAACATGGCTGTTTTGAAGAATTGAAGGAAGTTCCAGTGTGTCTGGACCTTAGAGAGTGAAAAGCAGAGAGGTAGGGGGCAAGGCTTCAGAGAATGTGAGCTCTCCAAAAATGAATAAATAGCATAGTGAATTTTGAGTGCAACCTTTATGGTAGAGATTTCTTTCTGTCAGTTCTTCCCACAGATATTAATTTACTGGTGTTAATATTAAAACCATCAATATAAAGAAATTTGATACTTATATAGTGGAACATGTTTTCTATAAGAATTTTCCTAGATAAATCCTATTTTAATGTTGATTTATTTTTAGGTCCTGCAAATTCAACTTGTGTGGCTGGATTAGGTCTTAAGATTTTAGGATTTTAGAAATTGGTTTAGATATTAGTGATTATTGGGGAACAATTCTTTTATTTTTTACTAGAGACCCAGTGCACGAATTTGTGCACAGGTGGGGTCCCTCGGCCTGGCTCGCGATTGGGGCTGATGGGGGCCATCTCACCCAGTCCCGATTGGGGCCGGCCAGGTGGAGGGACCGCAGGAGGTTGGCCTGCCCTGGGAGGTTGGTTGTGGGAGCTCACTGACCATCAGGGGCAGCTCCTACATTGAGCATCTGCCCCCTGGTGGTCAGTGCGCATCATAGTGACTAGTCAACTGGTTTCTTGTTTGACCCGTCTTAATGGTCGCTTAGGCTTTTATATATATAGATTTTTTTTAGAGAGATAGAAGAAGGGGGAGGAGAGAGAGAGACATTGATTTGTTGTTCCACTTAATTATGCATTCATTGATTGATTCTCATATATGCCCTGACCAGGGATCAAACCTGCAACCTTGGTGTATGGGTACGACACTCTAATCAACTGAGCTACTAGGCCAGCGTCTGGGGAGCAATTCTTAAATAATGGGGATGATGGAGTGTTAGTTTGCTAAACCTACTATTTAGGAAACAAAACCTACTTCTAGGGAATATTGACTATTTTTTTGGTAAGCCTTATGGGGCTAGAGAAAGAGCACAGATGTTCTTATTATGAACTGGTGAATATAATAGTCTGTCATACCCTTCTAGACCATATGTCTTAACGTGACACATGGCTCTTGTTGGACATACAAATGAATCAGTAGCCCAAGGGCCATTATGAAAAAGCATGAAAGCATTTTTATCTGCAAGTATATTGACTTTTTTCAGAAATCACAGTACTCTTCCTCAAAGCCCAGATGGGTCTGTTTGATTTAGTACCTTTATTGTGTAACTGGATCAGCTTGCCCCATTTTCATAACTTAAATTAGACTCTTGGTTTAGCTGCCCATCACTAGTGATCAAGGAATGAAAAATGTGCAAATTTTTCTAGCATTTCAGCCAGGAACATCTGTGTATCTGATGGCTTAAGGGTATTAGAGTGAGAGAGAAGAGACTCCTCAACAATGAAAGTCACAGCTTTGTTAGTAGATTATCTGTGGTGAGTTGGGACTTAATATATTATCTTTGAATGGAGGCATGACACTTCTCTCCATGTGAATTCTGGATCAACATTTCATGGAACATCTGTTTAAGTTTTTTTTCAGGCCTTTTCATACTGGAGACTGTCATCACTGCATTTGCCTTACTTCTGACTGCTCTCGGCATATGCTTTCCTACTTTTACTAGAGGCCTGGTGCATGGATTGGTCTACCGGTGGATTCCCTTGGCGTGGCCTGCGGGGATCAGCCGAAACCGGCTCTCTGACATCCCCCAAGGGGTCCCAGATTGCAAGAGGGTGCAGGGCCTCTAGTATGCATATCTTTGGTTAATCTCTGCCCGCCCTCTCCCCTCCCCCCTCCCTCTGAGATTCATCCGTCTGTTTCATGTTTCCATGCCTGTACGTTGAGCGTCTGCCCCCTGGTGGTCAGTGTGCGTCATAGCTACCAGTTGAACGGTCGCTTAGGCATATATATATATATATACCAAAGGCCCGGTGCACAGATTTGTGCACCAGTGGGGTCCCTCGGCCTGGCCTGCAGGGATCAGTGGACCTTCGCACCGCCGCAGCCCGGCCTTACCCGCCAGCTCATCAGGCTCCAACCCGCTCCAACCCGCTATCCACATCGATCCCGCACAGCATGAAGTAGTGTGCAAAGTAGCCGGTGGCCAGGGAGGAGCCCGAGCCCAGGCTGGGTGCTGCGCCACTCCCGCTCATCCCGGCCCCGCTGCACCTGCTGCTGCTTGGGTGTGCTGGGGGAGTGCCCACAGGAGAGGCTCGTGCTGCGCTCACCAACCATGAGCCTGGCGCCCTTCTGTCAGCTGAGCGGCACTCTTGCTGTGGGAGCTCCTGTATTGAGCATCTGCCCCCTGGTGGTCAGTGCATGTCATAGATACTGGCCGGTCATCTGGTCGCTTAGGCTTTTGTATATATATAGATAGATATTTGGGGTGTGCTAATGAAGAATGGCACATGGAAGTTGAGGGCTAGTGATATGATGAGATGTGGCTAGCCTAGAGTGAGAAAAAATTTTTTGTCATCAATAACTAGGTCTCAACTTATCTTGTAATCACCTTTTA